AAAAATATTTTAAAATATTTTTTAAAAAATACTTATCAGCTCATGACTTTAGGCTGAGCATTCCTTACCCTTGTTTGAAGAACCCCCAGGATTCTCTCTTTCTTCCATAGAGTTTGACCCTTGAGAGGTATTATCCTGAGACTCTTGATGTTTCAGTTTTTGGGAGGCAGATGGAGAGTTTACTGTCTCTGGGGATTCAGAATGCCATGGAGAGCTTTCTGCTGCTGGTTTCAACCGCTCCCTTGTAGTGTCCTTCTTTGGCTTGATTAGTTTGACTAAGGCTCTGGCTCCAATCCAGTGGTTTTTCCTGATAAAGCAAGTTTTGAGAATGGGATTCATAAAACACTACAAGAAATACTCCCCGAAGAAGTTTACAGCTGTGCTAAAGTCATCAAGCCACCCTACATCCTTATTTGTTTACTGTCATGAATTGACTAGAAAGATGCAGCATGAATTTCACACAGCTTGAGATCCATTTCTCTCATAAAGTAAAAATTATTTTACAGAAATATTTCCTCAGCATGAAAATGTGTGAAAGACAACCATTCCCTCTGCTAGAAATCTACACTATACATATGGACGGACTCACATAAGACACTTTAACAGCATGAAAATCTCTACTACACGAACAGACTGAGAAGGAAAGAAATCAAATGTACTTTGAAGATGCATACCTCTCTTTGCTAAGGCTACCAGTCAAAACTACGTGTTGTGGAATTAGCTTGTCTCTTTTTTGTTGTTCTAAATATATATATTTTAAGTCCTTTCTCTCTGATGGAATGCCTATCTCCTTTGAAAGAGCAGCTCTGGAAGCTCCTACTGCTGTTAAGTCACTATATTGGGGGTCCCAGCCCACTGCTAGGGACAAGATGATATTCAGGGCATAGCGACTCTTTGCCAACTAATACTGTTTCAGATTCCAGTATTAAAACAGAGGGCCCCACATGAGGCACCGTGCTCTATATTAACACATCCTGCTGCTTCAGGGAATGGCTTACAGAGTGAGAGTGAAGAGAGAAGTGGATATGACGCTGTCCTTATTCCAGATTAAATTTCTGTTACCTCCAGTTACAGAGATCCCTTTTTTCACCCTCACAAATCTGTACAATAGCAAAACTGAACCCATATGGAACTTACTTTTTTGGAGTAGGATCATAAAACTTGTACTGATCCATTATCTTCTCTTCAAGTTTTTCCTTGTGTCTCCTTAAGGCATTCAACTTATCACTGTGAGGGGTAAAAGCACATTCTGAACCATCTGTATGAAATTAAGCATAACCAAAAAATTGAAGACCAAAAGCCACCAGGAGAGGAAAGAGATGAAAATATCTTCCTATTGTATACCCTTCAGAATCCTACTGAGCTCATTCACTGCCTAGAAAGGGCAAATGCAAAAGCCTATCACATTTGCTGATGGGCAATTTTTGTGCAATAAGCATGAAAGGTGAAAGAACAACAGCAGATTGGTGCTAGATTACTCACTAATAACTCAGGCAGAGTTAGTTTGGTGCTTGTTAAGATTAATTTTATTTTGTTTCTTGAAAATTCGTTTGCTGATTGTTCAGTCTCATTCACAGATCACTGACAATTACTCAAGGGTTAAGATCCTTACATAGTTAGAACTTGTCTGCATGATAACTAGCTATTTTGTTCCTGTTCTGCTTATTCTGTTGCAAGTAGAGAAGTAAATAATATTTGATCTTTTTAAGAGTACTTTGGTTTCCTGCAAGCAGTGTCAAAGCACTTTCAGCAGTGCTATGTAATCTATTTTTTTTTACTTATGATTTTATTAATGTACACAGTAGATATCAGCAAATCTTTTTTGATTCAAGTAGGAGGTCTAATAACGTACCTCCGTCACAGAACTGTCAGACACTGGGATAAATATGGTTAGAGTACACCTGACCTTTATTTAGCCAATTTCAGTAAACAATTTCTAACATTTCAACCATAAATCCAGTACTGAAATAAATCAGTCAGTAACTCCCACATCATCCCGAGGTGCCTAGACTAAAATTCTTGGGATTCAGAACACTCTTCTTCCTTTTTTCGTAACTACAAGAGAAATTCACTGCAGTGAGAACAGGGCTCTTTGTAAATGTACAATATGTTTAAATAGGGTATCTCACTTAAGTGCGTCACCCTATGCATGGGGGATGCAGTGAAGTATGCTGACACTTGCATCCTTAAAGACAACATCAAAGGAATTATTTCTTATAACGCAAATAACAAAAACTAGAGGAGTATTAATATTTGCTGTTCTTCAGGAATTAAATATAAAATTACTCTCATAAGACTAAATTTTTGTTGCAACCAACTGTTTTCCAAGCTCTTCAGAAATCTTTGAGAAGTACCACTGGGTTTAGCATTCCATCTTTTATAACTAGGCTTTCCACATGAGTTAATCTATATTATCTGAAGAGAGCTGTGCTTGTCCAAGTGTCTCCTGAACATCCCTTTATGGTAAGGCAATGCAAAGACATTTTGTAGCCTCTTCCCATTACATACATTTCCTCCTAAACATCCCCTTTTCTAACCAGATATCAAGTAGACCTATCATTCTGCTGCCTGTCCTTCTACTCCTGATAGATGATTTGTATTCTGTTTGCTAGATGACATCTTGAGGTTTCACAATTCAAATCTCCAGTTTCTTACATGTACTGTTTCTGTTCTTCGTGATACTGCTCCTTGTTCTCCATGTTCTGCTCCAGTAACATCTGATTCTGCTGGCTCAGCATGTGAATCTGACTCAGGAGATGATGGTTTTCTTCTTCCAGATTTCCCTTTAGACGGGACAGCAGCTGTTAAACAAGATAGATTAATCTCTCCTCTGCATCTGGCTTCCCTGGAAGTGCACCATAATCAAGTTAACACAATAGCATAGCACCCTAGGACATGAATCGATAAGCATAAAGTATATGGGAGTGTTATTATGACCACACAGCATGACTTTCTATATACAGTCTCCCAAGAGCTTCACATGATGAATGTTAGCACTAACAGGAACTCAGCAGTGTACCTACCTACAGCTACTCACCTCACAGTGGTTATCCAGCTTGGTCAGAGAAATATCCATGGACTGGTGCTGTTCTTTCAGCTCATCGTAGCGAGCCTGCCAACGATTCAGCTCCAGCTGAGAGTTGTTCAAGGAAGTTTTCAGCTCTTTAGTGTGTGAATGCAGCCCTTCATAGTCTGCTTTCAGTTGGTTGTGCAAGAAATTCACCCTAAACACAAAGAAGCCAGCAGACTTATGAAGGATACTTCATAGAAAGTACCCCACATTCAAAGGCCACACCACCAGTGTGCAGCTGTTACTAAATCAAACATTAAGCTCCAAAGACTAACTCCTAAAGACATTTATATTCTAAGCATACAATAAAATTCTCTTACTAAAACAGTAATGCCATTATAAAATATTTCAAATCTACAAAAGAACTGAAAGGAAAATAGATGAAACATTAAACTGCTATTTCCTCAATGTGTAAGAAACACTACAAATTTCTGAGGCACGATGTGTTTAAGAGCATTTGGATGTGAAGGCAGCTCTATTTGTCACGAATAAAGAACACTGATGCATGAAATGTGAGAATGAAACTGTCCTGAACTGTGAGACACTAATGTTGTAAGATGATACTGTGGCATTCTTTTATAGTTTTTGGTAAATCTAAAAATATCTACAAATCAGAAAGGCATAAAATTAAATAAACAGACGAATAAAAGTTTAAGTTCTGTATCTGATGACAAATCAGCTAAGCCTTGCTCTCTGCCAGTATTGCAATCAACGTTTTGTAACATATTCTTTTGTCCCTAGAGAAACGGAGTTGAAAACAGCAAGCTTGAGGAAACCTCCTTTGCAGAGCTCTGCAGTGTTCTAAAGTACATTACAATTAGAACAGCATACGAAACTTAGTGACTGAACTTAACATGTTATTTTTAAGTATGATTCGATGTGACATTGTTTTAACTTGACACGACCTTGGCCCCTTATTTGTACCAAACTATCTCTCAAAATGCCTTTGTAGTATGAACAGTGGCACTGAACTGCTTATAATGGAGAGAGCCGCAGCAGGGATACAGGAGGGGTGGAATGGGTGGTTGGGTCTATGTTCACTGCTGTATTATGCAAAGTTCGTATGCTAGCTCATAAAAAGGGTTTTGACATGAGTTAACACTTATCCAGTGATCATAGAAATCACTACACCCACTTTTAATATAAAGAATTAAGCCTCTTTTGAGTACTAACAAATGGTAGCTTTCTCTGAGTAGCAGAAAATAAGCAGCAATGGTAACTCCTAGAAGTAAATCAGATTGTATAAAACACGTAACACAGTTCTCCTTAAGGGAAAGAAATTGGGTAGGAACCATTTCACACAACTCTAGATATTACTGGGGGTTTTGGGTATTTGTAGGTCTGCCTAGAGAAACAGCTCATTACAGAACACTTGTGAACTGAACCGCATGTGGAAGATTATTTTGAATGAGAAAAAGTCCCAGAATCAGACCATGTTTGAAGCACCAAATAACAGTATTTGTTGACAATGTCCACAAAGCTGATAATCTTAAATGAGTTAAACAAAATGATCAAATTAACAAGACAAAAATTGCGAAAAATTAACAGACACATTAATGAAGGTATTCCGGAACTACAGTTAACAACACAGCAAAACAACTGTGTGTTTTGCATAACTGACTTTTTAATTATATATACAATAATTTAGCAAGGGACCCATACCTGTCCAGTTCCTCCCTCAGCTTCTGATTTTCCCCAGTGGTTATTGCATTCGATCTCCTCTCTTGTTGCAGAACCTCTCTCTCAGCTTTTAAAACTATTTCCAACTCTTCCAGTTCTGCCTTGTATTTCATTAAACTGTTGTATCTGTAAAAAGAGGAGTAGCATACTCTCAGCTTTCATTGAAACATTTTTATTCCTCCAGTTTAAGATTGTTAATAGGTAACACTGCAATGACCAGAAAGGATTTTTTTTTCCTGCCTGATTAGTTTCATACACAGTGGTGTGGTTAAACATCTACCAAGGCTCAAGAACTCCACACTATGCATGGGGATTCAGCTCAGTCTAGAAGTCAAGGAGGCTTTTAGAAGAAGAAAAAAAAAAAAAAAAAAAAAAGAAACAACACATTTTTAAGCAAACTGGAATGCAATTGCCAGAACCTTATTTCAGTTCCAGATTCTGATCATTTGGTAAAAAGCATGCAAGTCTGCAGGGTGAGTGGAAAATGCACAATTGAACTGGAATCCCATTCACAAATAATTTTCAGTGGCAGGTTTCAAAAACCTGACTAAAAAGCAGAAAGCAGCAGCCTAAGAGCAACAAGAAAGCAGTGTAACAAGTAACAGTTTATTAGGTAACAACCTAATGCATATTAGGTTATATGCATAGGTAACAACATCCTGCACAGGTAATAACCTCCTGTATATTCCAGCCAGATGATGAGGCTAGTATTAGTGAGTTGACAGCAAAACACCTTTTAGCAGGGGGTGACCCACCTGCTTGAGTGGCTCTACTTGTTCACTAGCAAGAAACCCAAGACCAACATCAGCATTCACATCCAGGCTTCCACTGTTATTTGGTTTATACAATTTGCGCATAAATCATTTAGGGCAGAGATGGACAGAGACAGAGAGCAGATGCCATCAACTGTGTCTTTAATTTTGATTTCTGGAATGCTAAAATAACAGAGATGTGGAACAACTCTCCTGATACTTGGCACAGGCATCTATTAGGAAGGCTCAGCCTCCCTGAGCTGCTACACTGCCTGCATTTGGAAAATGCTGCGAAGAACTGGGTGGCTTGACACTACTTTGCAAAACAGCAAGCTTTTCTCAGATTTTTTTTTTTTCCCCCCCTCTGGTGGCCTCTGTCAGGGTCTGTGTCTACACACACCAGCAGAAGCCACTGGGGACACTAGTGCGTGAATGTCAACAGTCATCAGCACATTTTTCTGTGCCTGTGATAAAACAATATTGCTCTGAAATATCCCTGGACAGATACACCTGTGCCAGTCGTGAAGAAACATAATTCTAAGCAACTTTAAAACAGCAGCTAGGTGGAAAATACAGCATTGCTTGAAAAAGCTAGAGAGAACAAGCACCATCCATCTGTGACTCTCATCCCAGCGGAGATGAACGCAGAGCACAGTTACTCTGCAGTCACGAAAACTTTAAAATAAAAACAAAAGCAGCAGACAGCATCAGATACACTGACTCCTGGAAACATGTTTTTCTTTCAGGCTGCCATTCCCTTCATCCCACGGTCAAATTACAGCCTGTCCCAAATTCCAGTCCATTGAAGGGCCACACAGAAAAGTACCTGTCTACCAGACAAAAGCTGCTTTTTGCTATTCACTCCCCGTAGCAGCAGTGGAGTTTAATTAATCTTATTTATTTGTTTTCTTCCTCCATTCAGTTCCAGGACATTTCAAATTCAATGTCTGTACAACAAATGGAAGAACAAACCTGAAAGCAGAGGAAGGTTTCACATCCAGCTTCAAGGAGGATTTAAGACAGACTGTGTGCCAGTCCAGAGTCTGAGAAGACAAACTCCACAGTCAATCCCTTGGCAGAGATTACCACGGCTGCCCCTGCAGAAGCTGTGTTGTGAATTCTTTTGCCATTTCTGTATGACAGGCTACTCCATTCATTTTCATCCAAGCCCTCCATTTTTTAAAGAAGGCTACTTAGAGGGAAGCAGTATACTGATCTGGTTTTACCAGCTTGGCCCAGCTCCACATGCTGCCTCTGAGCATGAGAACCTGAGGCAGACCACAGCTGCTCCCCTGGATATTAGGTGAGAGGTAAGAAAGAAGAGACTGCAAAAATGCAAGTGATTTTCCATCTCTGGAGTCCTAATGAAGCCTCCAGGCAAAATTTCCTTGTAGTCCAGATTCAGCATGGAGTCTACCATTTGAGCAGGATTTGCACAATCTGACAAGCTCCGTCACAGGGGGCAAGGTTACCCATCCTGCAGGCTATTCAACACACACATTCACTCCACTTCTGTAAGCATCATGCACTTGGACAGAGGGGTTTTAAACATGTTTTCTTATACACGTAAATAAAATCCATTTTGGCTCTGAGGCAATCCATTCCTGGGACTGAACAATCGTATTCCTCTTTACTCCTTTTGGCTTTCACTCTTTCTGCTGCTTTGTTAGGAGAAATACTGTGGGTAGGTATTTCTGACTAAGAGAACTTTAAAAATGCTCAGTTATGATAAAAAGCATGTTGCAAAAGGAACCCAGAAAAATAATTACCAGCCAGTATTCGTAACATAATAATAGGAGTCCCTGCAATAAGTAACCCTCCACAGCAGGGATTCTGTTCTTCCAGTGAGATGAGTTTTTCCATTCTCTCTGCAGGATTAGACTTCTCCAGAGTAAGCCACAAAGAAATGCTGAAGGATTTGCTAATCAATTGTAGCTACTAAGTTATTACCTCCCCTTAGTAATGTGCAATATGTAAAACAATTAAAAATTGCCGCAAAAGAGTCCAGCCTTTCTGTGTTCACTGAGATGGTCTGCCAAACACTGCAAAGTCAAGAAACCACTATTAATGGTAAATGATCGTGACATACTAACTCTCCTTTTCTTGCAAAGTCAAAACCATGTCTGTGGTTTGCTGGGCTATGACACACCACTTCAATGCAGTTACACACAATCCATTATTAAAAGCTAACTGCAGAGCTAATACTATGCAGATACAGCTGAGGGAGGTTTAATGAAGTTTGCTGAGGTGCAGAAAATATTCGGTGGTTAAAATGCACCAGAGTGAACTATACAAACTTTGGGGACCTTGGCTGTACAGTGCTAGGAGTCCACAAGCTAACTTAAGTTGCTGTGGATTTTTCTAGATGAGCTGCAATCACAGGTTTGTGCAGGAGTGCAATCTTGCTTAAGCAATAGAACTATGATTACAATGCTGTCACCAATGGAGAAAAAATGATTACCTTGGAGTCAGGACAAGCAAAAACCTGTCTCTTAAACACTGCCCAAGCAAAATTCTTGGCTGCACTGAGCTGCTCCAGGAAAACAGAGCAGGTGGCACATTCTAGCTGAAGTTGACAGTGAGATATTTGATCTTAGCAGTTAAATGCCCCAGAGGGGCAGAAGAAAACATTTTTCTTACAGCTGTTTTTCTAACTTTCTCCACTCTGGTCCCTCAGCCAGCTGAGCTGCATATAAC